CAAGTTTAGGAAAAAAGCTGAATATTTTACTTAATTGTATTGTTTATATCCTCTACTTTGTACATAAGATACTGTTGTAAAGAATTTCAAATGATCCAAAAAAACCCAAATCAAACCCATTGCCATCGAGTTGATTCCGACTCATAGTGACCCTACAGGACAGAGTAGAACTGCCGCATAAGGTTTCCAAGGAGCAGCTGGTGGATTCGAACTGCCGACCTTGTGGTTAGCAGCCAAACGCTGCACCACTGCACCACCAGGTCTCCTCAAATGATCCAGAAGGATATAAAATTCACACAGGCCTCTTGTCTTTATCCCTGTGGATGGCCCAATACCTGCCCTTAGAAATAATTACTATTGCAGTTTTGGGATATTCTTACAAATACATAAATTTTTGACATTTGTGTGCATATGTGCATGTGTGTGCGTGTGTGTGTGTGTACATATATGCCTCCCTTTATTTTTAACAGAAATAGGATCCTAATACGCATGCTAATTTATAACCTACTTTATATATTAATAATGTGGATATCTTTCCATTTTAGTAACCCCTTCTCATTCTTTTTTACTCATTTTCATGATTTTATAGTGTTCCATTCAATGGATACATGATAACTTAATGGTTCCCCTAATAGAAAACATTTAGATTGTTTCTGGTTATTTGTGTATTTATACCTGGATTTATTTTTCATCTCGTTTACATCTATGAGAATATCTTTAAGAATGATTTTTAGAAGTGGAATTGCTGGGTCATGTGTATGTGCTTTTGAACTTTTGACAGATAGTATTAGATTGCCCTTCAAAAATGGTTGCACCGATTTACACTCTGTGAAGTGTTTTTATTATTACGTTTTAACTACCAAGATTTTATCTACACTTCGTAAAATCTAGAATAGGAAAATTTAGTATTAATTATTTATTCTATTGTTTTAGAATAATGAGATGTTGGAACTACAGAGAATACGAATGAAGGATGAAATCCGAGAATATAAATTCCGGGAGGCACGACTCCTTCAGGACTACACTGAACTGGAAGAAGAAAATATCACATTGCAGAAGCTGGTGTCCACATTAAAGCAGAACCAGGTAAGGTTTAAGGAGTTCTCTTGAGGTACACTCCAGATGGAGGCATATTCTGGCTATTAAGGTTAAATCTTTATACCTCAGTGTTATGGATTCTATTGTGTCCCCCAAAGAAATGTGTTGTAATTCCTAATCTCTATGCCTGTGGTTTAATTCCATTTGGGAATGAGTTGTCTCTGTTATGCTAATGAGGCAGGATTAGTGTAGGTGTATCTTGAGTCAATCTCTTTTGTGATGCGAAAGAGATTAAACAAGCAAGCGAGCTAGCAGAGATGGGGAGAGAGAGATGCCAAGCCACATGAAGATTGCCCAGGAGCAGAAGCTCAGAAAAGACAAGAGCATTCCTCCAGAGCTGACAGAGAAAGCCTTCCCCTAGAGCCGGCACCCTGAATTTGGACTTCCAGTCTCCTAAACTGTGAGAAAATAAATTTCCGTTTGTTAAAGTCATCCACTTGTGGTATTTCTGTTATAGCAGCACTAGATAACTAAGACATTCAGGAAGGAATTTGTCCACTTTTGCTATAACTCCTTAATCTTCTCTACACAAAAGTTATGTGACGAAATTCCTCAACTCTCCTATTTTTGTTAAAATTTAGAAGGAAATTGATAGCTATATATGGTTTACAATAAAACTTTATTGGTAAGAAGAATTTTATTTTATACTTTAGTTCTGTGTTAATTTATTTTAGGAGTAAGTAAAATGTATTGGCCCAAATTTAACTTAACAACTTCTACTTAGAATTCTGGGCCTATGAACTTGTTTTGTACTTGCCCTCAGTAAACTTAGAGACCAGTCCAGATATACGCTTCTACTTCTACTTCCTTCCCAAGTCAGGCGTCTATGTCCAAAACTATTATGGGTGTTTATATATAAGGGCTAAGAGTGAGGGGAAAGGAAAAACCTAGAAGAGAAAAAAATCCATGTACTGACAGAACTGAAATTTGATTTTTGATCACTGCCACTAACCCCCACCTTTGGAGTGATGGAGAATAAGAGGCCTACTAAAGAGTATAGAGGATAGTTTTAGGCCATTATAAAAAAAGGTTACCAGAATATATCCCTCAAGTGTTTCACCTCACTCCTTCCCTTTTAAGCGCTGAGTCACTGACACTGTGTGTGCTGAGGGCTGGCAGAACCACAGGTATCCAGGTCTTGATTTGGCTGGATGACTGAGCTCACGGTAAAGGAAATTAGGCTTAGAAGAATATTTTGTGTGTGTGTTTTTCTTTTTTAATATACTTCCCAGAAACTTGTTAAAATAAGAAAATTTTTTGTTGGTGGTGGGTTTTTTTTTTTGTCCCTAGTAAAGAACTTAGAGAACTTGGAACAAATTTACTGAAGTGTGAATATTTAAAGTGGTCATTACTTCCTGATTCATACAAATCCTCACTGCTCTCTGCATGGGCAGGACTCTTTCCCATAGCCTGCAACCAGACAGCCTTCGTGTAGAGTCTTCCATGAATGCATGTGGTAGACTAATTTACTTAGGAGGTTAATTACCGCCAGTATTAGGTATTCTTGAAAGCCTACCAAAGTATCCTGTGAGTATTCATTAACCCAGGTGCTGTTTCTCTGGGAATTTGTATTGTCAGTCAGACTGATTACTCTTTACAGTTTACCTGCCCCTTCCACCAGTAATTGAAACATGGGGAACAAATGGTTAACTCAGCAGTTCTTAACAAATGGGGAAATTTACACAACTCTTTAGTTTAATTTTATTTTTTTGGATGCAGTGTGGTAATTTTCTCAATTAAGTGTCTAATGAATTACTGTGAAGTCATTAGGGCCATTCTGGCTTATTCCATGACAAATTGGTACACTGAAGTGCCACAAATCTCTCCTAATTAAGGAAATGCCATTTTTCCCCCTACTGTTGGCCTTTATTTATAAAAGTTAAATAAAAAATTTTATAAAAATTTTCTTATTTTAACAAGTTTCTGGGAAGCATATTAAAAAGAAAACCACACTCTTTCTAATTAATGAAATATTATGTATAATATTTTATGTACAAATACCACAGATTGTTTTCAGGAGATAAAGATGACTGGCATTCATTCACAAAAATTGGTCTGAATGTTGGTTTAGATTGAAACTCCCTTTTCATAGTATACTTCTCTAGCCTTGTTTGATGTTTCTCAAAACAGCTAAGCTACTAACATTATTAAATGCTTAGTTCAAAGAACTAGAAGATTTTTCCCTTCTAAAGTTTTGTGTATCTTTTAACTATTGATTGATTATTTGCAAATAATGATTGTTTACATAGCACCCATTACTCCCTATATACTATTTTTTAGTTTGTTTATTTTCCATTTCCCTTCACTAAGATAAAGCACCTTGAACAGGGCCTGGCACACAGTAGGCATTAAATAAATACTTATTGAAAGAATGGATGAACTTATTTCATTCTCTTACATTCACACTTCCACTTAGAGAGGAAACTAAAATTTAACATTAGTTTGTTAACCATGCAGCCCTGGTGGTGCAGTCATTAAGTGCTCGGCTGGTAATAGAAAGATCAGTGGTTTGAACCCACCAGCCACTCAGTGGGAGAAAGATGTGGCAGTCTGTTTCCGTAAAGACTGCGGCCTTGGAAACCCTACGGGGCAGTTCTACTCGGTCCTATAAGGGTCACTATGAGTCAGAATCAACTTGATGACAATAGTGTATAGTTAACCATTACCAATTTTTATTTGTGATCCCAAATACAAAATATGTAGAAGCTACTATTTTGTGATCTCTGTTCTGAAAGCATTTGATGTTTGAACTGATGGAAAGGACATTGGAACATGTATTTTCCCAGGGAGCCCATTAGGGTACAGAAAGCAGACACAGGAACAGATCAGTTTGGGGTAGCGGGTAGCCAAGGGCTGTGAAGCTATTCCATATTTCATATAGGTAACAAGGAATGGGAATTTAAAATATATATCTATGTCCATGTCATGCTGGTTAAAGTGCCCAGTTACGCGTTTTCCCCAAAGAGCAATTTATTCTCCTATGAAGTACCCATGACCTTGAGTTGATAGATAGTTGATAGATGACTGTTGTTATGAAACTCAGGAATTCCCTTTTGAATACATTTAGAAGACAACTATTGGTAGTATGCCATGGATAGATTTGTTATTTTTCACTTCTTTTATTTATTCAAAGGTATATTTGAGTGAAACAATTAGTACTTTATAATTATTATTGTAAATAATATACACGTCTCCATGATTTGACTATTTTGAGTGATTCTATCATAGACATGATGAAATTCCAATGGTCTTTTATGGCAGAATTTGCTGGTTCTCCATCAATATCCTTTGTTCACTTTTCCCAAACTATTAACTAATTTTTAACTGGATATAAGACTACCCAGAGTAAAGACTGTATTTCTTTACCTTCTTGCCACTAAGTGTCATGTGACTAGTACTGGCCACTTGGAGATGAGAAGAACGGATATGGGCAACTTTGAGATATCTTATTAAAGGGAAGAGGTGCGCCCCTCACTTCATCCCACTGCTTGGAACATGATCAGGATGGCAGGCCACCTTAGATCACATGGATTAGAGTAGGAATGGCAGTGCAACAAAGAGCCTTGTTCCTGGATGATGTCATGGAGCAGAGATTCCCTACTGGCCATTGATTATCTACCTCCATACTGTTATGAGTCAGAAACAAACTTGTGTCTTGGCCAGATCACTCATATTTAGGTCTCTGTTACATCAGCCAAACCTACATCCTAACTAAACCCATATCCAAAATTGATATCTTAACCTTTTGAAGACAAGCCATTGCATTGAGAATATGTGAAGACAGACAGACAGATATATAAGATGGTCTGTGATTCCTATTCAGTTTTAAAAAAGATCTTTTTTAAAATTTAAGTTTAAACTGATATAAATAAAATAAATATAATACTAGATACATAATTTATATTAGCATTTGTCTTAGTTATCTAGTGTTGCTGTAACAGAAACACCACAAGTGGATGGCTTTAACGAACAGAAATTTATTCTGTCACAGTTTAGGAGGTTAGAAGTCCAAATTCAGGGTGCCAGCTCTAGGGGAAGGCTTTCTGTCTCTGTGGGTTCTGGGGCAAGGTCCTTGTCATCAGTCTTCCCTTGGTCTAGGAGCTTCTCAGCACAGGAACGCCAGGTCCAAAGGGGTTGGTCTGCTCCCAGCGCTGCTTTCTTGATGGTATGAGTTCCCCCTGTTGCTCTGCCCACTTCTCTTTTATATCTCAAAAGAAATTGACGCAAGATACAATGTAATCTTGTAGATTGCATCTTGCCTCATTAATATGACTGCCTCTAATCCTGCCTCATTAACATCATAGAGGTAGGATTTACAACACATAGGAAAATCACATCAAATGACAAAATGGTGGACAATCACACAATACTGGGAATCATGGCCTATTCAAGTTGACACACATTTTTGGGGGACACAGTTCAACCCATAACAGTATCTAATATCATAATGAGTTTATTATGTGACTTTTTCTAGTTCTTCATTCATCAGTTTGTTTATTCAGCAAAAGCTTATTGAAGAATAGAATTCTGCTGAAAAACTATGAAGGAACATTGAAGCACTGTAATGGAACACCTAGTGAATCACAAGTACTTCCTGTCTCTAAAGATATTATAGTGTAGTTGTGGAGATAAAATATTTATAAAAGGCGGCCTGTGGTAAGTGCCATGGAGAAGACCCCCCAGGAGGCATGTCGGGTCAGAGGATAGATCCTGTTCATCTGTGGGCTTTTATAAAAACAGCTTAGAGGCAGTGTCTGACCTCCTTCAACCCCACAAGGGAGAAGGAGAACCAAGAGCAACAGAGCAAGGCTGACCCCCATGAGGTGGAGGCCAGACAAGCCCCCTCTTTCCACCATCTTTACTAATTCTGACACCAACCGTCCCTTGCACAGCACTCTCTACTTCTCTGCTGGATTCGGTAATTCATTGCAATGGCCACACACAACTCACAGACTATACTTACGATTATGGGGTTTATTAGGGAAGTAAGTTACAATTCAGGCTCAGGAACACTCAGAATACAGTTCTTCCATCAGGACAGCCTCTTCCCAACTGTGCTTACAGGCACGCCTCTTTCTGGCCCTAGGCATCTCCCCAAAACCACTCAGCTTTCTCTCTCCATGGGCTGGGAAGCCCACCACACCATCTCCTGCTGCCAGGTCTCTCCTGCCACCGCTTCTCCCCGTCTTCAGGGTTACAGCTTGCTCTCTGTGTCTCTCTCTCTCTCTCTCAATCTCCTGCTTCCAGGCGTTTCTCTCAGCACAGGGATCCCGGGTCTAAAGGACACACTCTCTCCTCCTGGCTGTTCTTCCTTAATGGTGGTAGGATCCTCCTCTCTGCTCTGGAATTGGCTCTCTCTTAAGGCAAAACTGACCAATCCCTGTGGTGGACCACAATTACCCTATCACACAGTCCCGCCCAATCACCTGGGTGGGAGTTACAAGACCATGGTGAGAAAGTCCACACAAAAGTAAGCAATCCCACCGAAGCTTTCCTGACCAAGAAGGTGTTTGAGCAGGCTCTTAATTTGATTATAATTCCAAAGACTATTACATTGATAGCTATATATATATGTGTGTGTGTGTGTGTGTGTGTGTTGTTATTGGATAATTTGTAACTTTTCTTCCAGATTCTTTCCTTAAGCACATAAAAATATTTTTTGCTTCCTCATCCTACTCTCAAACATTTTATTGAGGTTATGTTCTTATTGTGATCTTTTAACTAATTTATCTCTGGATATAAAAATTTCCTCCTTATTAGTAATGAAATAAAACAAAATAGTTATGATAAAATCTTTTCTTAGATTTTGAATATTCTGAATAAATTATTGCAAAAATATTCTTGATTTATTAGGCAAACAGTGCCCCCTTTTGACCACTGAACCCCATAAAAGAAATACTAAAACAGATGATTCCTTTTTCATCTCTATTAAGAATTGAATTTTATTTAGTAATATCATTGAAACACATATAGTTTGAAAAAGGTGATTTCTAGCGTTCTTTACGTACGTGTTAAATATTTATTTTTTTCTAAAGAAACCATTCAGTGTTATCCTAAGACTATATGATATGCTTTTTTTTATGATATATTTTTAGACTTATGTGCCAATTTTTAAAATTATTATTAGGTCCACTAGAGTGTTTAATGACAGTTTTGTAAGACCCAAATTTTAGTTTTATGAATCTTCTTTATCCTATCTGATTCAGGTTGAATATGAAGGCTTAAAGCATGAGATTAAGCGATTTGAGGAGGAGACAGTGCTGCTGAACAGCCAGCTGGAAGATGCCATCCGGTTGAAGGAGATCGCTGAGCACCAGCTGGAAGAAGCCCTTGAGACCTTAAAAAATGAAAGGGAGCAAAAGAACAACTTGCGGAAGGAGCTCTCCCAGTACATCACCCTCAATGATAACCACATCAGCATCTCAGTCGATGGACTCAAGTTTGCTGAGGACGGGAGTGAGCCCAACAACGATGACAAAATGAATGGGCACATCCATGGGCCTCTTGTGAAACTGAATGGAGATTATCGGACTCCCACCTTAAGAAAAGGAGAGTCTCTGCACCCCGTCTCTGACTTATTCAGTGAGCTGAACATTTCAGAAATACAGAAGCTGAAGCAGCAACTTATGCAGGTAAGAACTTTGTTTAGGGCTGATAGAATGAGTTCCTTGTAGATCCCATGTAGTGTGTTGTGGGGATTTCATATTGTCCTATTATAGTTCCAGATTGTTTTTTTAAAATATTGCTTCTTTAACTGGCAACTTTGAAAGCACAATATTTTAAAAAGACATGACAGAAGGGATATTGAAGTGAAATCTCTCATTTGCATTGCTTTAAGAAATGAATCTCTTAGAGACACAAATTAGATTGCAATTCAATCTGAAGGAAGAGAAGACAGCCTCTTGATGCTTTTCTGGCTAGCAAAAGAACCCAAAAGCTTCATATACAAGTGAAATGACAGAAAATGCACATTTCTGTCACAAGCAATTATATGCATAACTCCAAGATTAATAGTCACATTTGACAGGAATACTTTAAGCTTTAAAGGACATAGGAGCTTCCTATATACAAACAGCCAGGACACCATTATGATTAAAAATATAGAATACAAGGCCTTAAGTTTTTAGCACCTTCAAATCAAGTGTCTTGTGAGGAGTCCCAGGCTTTAACTTTATCTCATTGTGAAATGGTTTTCTAGTTTAGAGTCTGCCTCCCTGCCCTACCTTCATCAAGTGCTAATGAAAATGTTGTCTGAGGAAGGGCATCACCACCATCACCATCACCATCACCATCACCTGAGGGCTTAGTAGTAGTACAAATTGTTGGGCTCCATACTAGATCTACTGAATCAGGAATCCGTGAGTAAGTCTGAGGCTTAATCTTCAGTCTGTTAACTCTCAAAGTTCTCTATGTGTAGCTTATAAAGAGAGGCTCTTAGACTTGGCAGTCACTTATATTTATGGCAAATATGGCTTATAATTGGTTGCTGTGAGTTGGAATTGACTCCACGGCAACAGGTTTGACTCTTTTTTTTGCTTGTTTAATATGTAACATATACTATAAATATTATAATAGCTTAGTGGGGTCGGATGTGACCCCCAATAATCAGATAATACTAGCATTTCTTTAGTGAATCGTGTGAGCATTCATACAAAGAGTTAAAAATAAGGACCATAAAAGGCTTCACATTAGTCACATGCAGTTTTGCTGTGTAGTGGGTTCAGGGCTGTCTGAATGTTGCCACCAAGTGAGTTATGATAAAACTTTTGTTTAGAGCTTTTTGGATTTTGAAATTGTGCTGTCATAGGGGCAGCAGTTGCCCTCCTTCAGGCAGCTCTCGATTTTGCATACCTCAGCATACTTTCGAGGTGACGGTTTGTATTGTCATAGTTTTCTTGTCTCTTAGGATTTAACCACGATTCAAAACACTGCACTTGAGAGAAAGCTGTGTACCCTCAAATCCAGCACCTGCCTTTAGTTACTGTTGATGGTTTGTGGAGATGAAGAGGGGGCACAGGCAGGAGCACAACACCTTGTACCAGGGAATGTGCGGCTTTTAAGATCTTCTTCCTTAGAACTAAGGAACCTTCTGAAATAGCACACAGGTCGTAGCCTACTGGCCTTTTCTTACCGTAGAAGGCTCTATGCATGTGAATTATGTTTTCTCATCTGAGGGTATTTAGCTAAACTGATTCAAGAAAGGAAAATCCTGTGTTTCTGCCTTGAGTATCAGGAATCCTGGATCAGTTGCTTCACCTCTGTGAGGCCCATTCATAAAGGGGAAGGTAATAAATTACCCCCCAACTAGTCTCTCTGATGTCTTTGTTGGAATTAGGGCGGCGGTGGGGGGGCGGGGGCAGAGAGTCCACTTCCTCCAGATATATACTGCTATCTGCTGAGAAATTGTAATAATAAATATAAAAATCTATAACTAACCAAACCCATTGTCATCGAGTCAATTCCAACTCATAGTGACCCTATAGGACAGAATAGAACTTGCTCCATAAGGTTTCCAAGGAGCAGCTGGTGGATTCAAACAGCGGACCTTTTGGTTAGCAGTCAAGCTCTTAACCACTATGCCACCAATTTAAATAATGCCTCTTGGTGTACAACCTGCATAGTCATACATTGTTATACCACCTTTGTGGAGTGTTGTGAAGACCAAATGGGATGGTGCATATGAAACTATGTATAAGTTATAAAATATTATTAGGTATTATTATTGTACTGGAACCTGCCATCAATTTTTGAGATGCCAAAAAGGTCACCACTTCCCTTTCAGTTAATACATAAACCATAGAAAGTATGGGAAAAACCAAATGATGATAAGACTATATCTAAATTAAAAAACTAGCTGCCATCAAGTTGACGCTGATTCATGGTGACCCCATGTGTGTCAAAGTAGAACTACACTCCATAGGGTTTCTATGGCAGATTTTTGGGAAGTAAATCTCAGGCCTTTCTTCCGCAATGCCTCTGGGTTGGTTTGAATCACCAACCTTTCAGTTAGTCAAGTGGAAACTGTTTGCGCTACCCAGGGACCTAAATTGTTGTTGTTGTTAGATGCCATCAAGTCTGTTCCAACTCATAGTCACCCTATGTACAACAGAACAAAACACTGCCTGGTCCTGCACCAAAATCACAGTTGTTGCTATGCTTGAGCACATTGTTGCAGCCACTGTGTCAACCCATCTCCTTGAGGGTCTTCCTCTTTTTTGCTGACCCTCTACTTTACCAAGCATGATGTCCTTCTCCAGGGACTGATTCTTCCTGATAACATGTCCAAAGTATGTGAGGCATAGTCTTGCTCTGCTTGCTTCTAAGGAGCATTCTGGTTATACTCCTTCCAAGACAGATTTTTTCGTTCTTCTGGCAGTCCATGGTATATTCAATATTCTTCACCAACACCATAATTCAAAGGCATCAGTTCTTCTTCGTCTTCCTTATTCATTGTCCACCTTTCACATGCATATGAGGCAACTGAAAACACCATGGCTTGGGTCAGGCGCACCTTAGTCTTCAAGGTGACATCTTTGCTTTTCAACACTTTAAGGATGTCTTTTGCAGCAGATTTGCCCAGTGCAATGCATCTGTTGATTTCTTGGCCGCTGCTTCCATGGGTGTTGATTGTGGATCCAAGTAAAATGAAATCCTTGACAGCTTCAGTCTTTTCTCCATTGATCATGATGTTGCTTATTGGTCCAGTTGTGAGGATTTTTGTTTTCTTTATGGTGAGGTGTAATCCATACTGAAGGTTGTAATTAGGGGTGCTTAACCCTGGCAGTGTAGTGGTTAAGAGCTACATCTAACTAAAAAAAGGTCGGCAGTTCAAATTCACCAGGCACTCCTTGGAAACTCTATGAGGCAGTTCTACTCTGTCCTATAGGGTCGCTATGAGTTGGAATCAACTCAACGGCAGTGGGTTGGGTTGGGTCGGGTTTTTTTCCCAGAGCAAATTCAACGAATATTTTTCTTAATTATTTTTCTTCTTAGATTATGGAATATAGTTATATTTTAAATGTAGCCAGTCATCCTAGCTTTTACTTAACACAGAAGCATATGCACCAAAAAAAAAAAAAAAAAAGAAAGAAATACAGTAAGAGAACATATTTTATTCATCTAAGAATCCCTGTACACTTGACAATAGACCTTGACAGAGAACAGCTCAATTAGGGTCATCCTTTATTGACTGAGAGAAATTCTCAGAGCATTATTAGATAAATTATTTTGGCTCTTGGTGCCCTTAAGACTTAGTTATTTCAAATACATTATAATTTATTTGACAGTCAGGTACCTTAATTATTTTTATTAGAATGAAAATAAGTAGAACCTGTCTGGGAAAACTAAATAAATTACTTAATCTATTTAAAGGAGTCTGCTATGCTGGTGCTAAAATTTCTGCCTTTGATAAATATCTTCTGTTTATCTTCACATCTACATAGAGTCAAACTAAGCAGGGTAAAAGTCTTCGGAAAAAATTTTTTTTTTTTTAGTATCAAACGGGATGTATAATTTCACATGTAGTATGAGAAAAAAATTAATATTTCTAAAAAACTGAAATTAGTATAATTTGTTGTGTCCTCATGGTTGTGGAAGAAATAAAGATTCATATTGTGTTTGGGTCTACTCCATTAAGGACAATTTAAATTTTTACTATAATAATGGTAAGTGGTTAATTTGCTATATGCCCCGTTAAAGTTCAAAGCACTTTATGCATATTTGCTTTATTGGAGCTTATAACAACTGTATGGGGTAGATAGTATTATTTTTTCCATTTTATATACAAGGAAAGTGAGGCACAAAAATGTTATGTCATTTGCTCAAAGTCAAAAATCTAGTAAGTAAAATTGATGTACAGAGAGACAAATTAAATACTATCTCTGCTTAACAAAGATTCACAGAATATTTATGAGGTGAAATTAATTAAAATAAGATTTGTCAGTTCCTAGTTTTTAAAACTTAAGGTAACAAATAGTTTCCTAGTACAAAAGTTGATGATTTAAATGATTATTACAAACTATTGTTAAATGTTACATTTATAAGCTTTGTAAAAACAAAAAACAAAAACCCAAACCCATTGCCATCAAGTCGTTTCTGACTCAGGGCAACCACATGTGTTACAGAGTAGAACTACTCTATAGGGTTTTCTTGGCTGTAATCTTTATGGAAGCAAATCACCAGGCCTTTCTTCTGTTTCACCTCTGGGTGGATTCGAACTGCCAACCTTTAGGTTAGTAGTCAAGTGCAAACCACTTGCGCTACTCAGGGACCTCAGTATGATGTTAACTGTGGGCTTTTCATAGATGCCTTTTTTAGGTTCTGTTCCTAGTTGGTTGAGTGTTTATATGATGAACCCATTGCCATCAAGTCGATTCTGACTTTTAGCGACCCTATAGGACAGAGTAGAACTGTCTCATAGGGTTTCCAAGGAGCAGCTGGTGGATTCAAACTACCAACCTTTTGGTTAGCACACCACCAGGGCTCCTTATATCATGAAGGGGTGTTGAATTTTGTCAAATGCTTTTTCTGCATATATCGAGAGGATCATGTGGTTTTTGTCCTGTGTTCTATTACTATGGTGTATTGCATTTATTGATTTTTGGATGTTCAACCAATATTGTATTCCTGGTAT